TGGGAGATACGGCCGATAGCGGGAGGGAGGGGCGCGTCATCATTATTATTATTTAGTTGTTATTATTATTATTATTCAAATGTTTAGTCGGGGTAAGCCGTCCCCCTGTTCGCGAGGGCGACCAGGGTGCGCGAAAGTGAAACATACGTGGCGATCGCATGACGATGCGTGTACCGCCATACAAAGACAAAGATCCCCCGTATAGCCGTTGACAGGCTGTCGGGGCAAGTGCTATTAGCGAGGAGCACCTGTAAGGGCCGGCACGGCACACCAGGGGGTGGTGTGGCCGGAATCCAGGCAGCCAATACATACACGCATACGTAGAGACAAAGATCCCCCGTATAGTATTTTACAAGCTGTTGGGGCAAGTGTTGCTAGCTAATAGGTGACCTTTCGGACAATGGCTCTTGTTCAGAACACAGACAGGCCAAGGAGGTATCACCAAACGATGTATTCGTATGTGCAGGGGAAGGACAACAAACTAAATGCAAACATCAGTTGTAAAGCAATGAGCTTCCAATATATATTTTTAAATGCATAGCTCCAGTGGCTTTCTAATATCAGAAGGAAGAGCATTCCAGACGGCCGCAGAAGCGCGTCTGAAAGCACGCGATGCAGTTATCAGCCCCTACTGAGCATCTGTGAATAAAATTAAATCACCAAAATTAAAACTGGCACGGCGCACGAGAGTGTGGTGCGGACGGGACAGCCTGCCTTTGTCTCCCCCATTGCTGATTTTTTTCACACCGCACCAGGTGCTCATTTATGGCTGAGTCGACCTAGGTAAGGTTACAACACTGGTTCAGATAATCGCCACTGGCGCTGGCCATGAGCGTGAATCCATCGCGGGTCAACGGGTTCGTGGCGCAGCGTACTGACTGCTGCGCTACCACTCCCACAACACTTGCACGCTCAAACATACACACAAAGACAAAAATCCCCCGTATAGCCTTAACAGAATATTGGGGCAAGTCCGATGAAAGCTGACACGGCACACAACCGGGTGAATGGACAACACCATGTCCGGTAGTCTTTGTCTTCTTCGTGGCGATGTTTACACACCGCACCAGGCACTCATTTGAGGCTGAGTCGACCTAGGGGAGGCCCAGGACCGGTTCAGATAATCGTCACTGGTGTTGGCTGCGAGAGGGAATCAAACTCGGGTCGCCGGGTTTGAAGCGCAGCGCGCTAACCGCTACACTACCACTCCCCCAATCATCACTACCACCACCAACAACAACAACAACCGCCATTCGCTACTAAGTGGCAGTGACATCACCACGGTGCTTGTGCCAGGCTATGTGCACGTTGAGGCCACGTGAAGTGTCGAACGCCCGCTGGCAGGAGGTCACGGGGCAGACCCAGGTGCCACGGGTCGACTGATTGGCCGATGCACCACCTGTGCCTCCTACTCTGCCAACTCGCTGTGCTTTAGCTATCCGGCGCTCCGCTCGTTGCTGGAGGGCGACTGCCTCCAACTGCCCAGTAGCAGCGTCCTTCACGAGCCTCCTCTACAGAGGCTGATCTTGGCACCTCTAGTACAGTCATCGGCAAGTCCACTCAGCTCCACATCCTCCTGTACCACATCACTCCATCTCTTCTCTAGCCCGTGTCGCACCCATTTAGCCCCCTATATCCGGGCGAACAAAAGCTGTTAAGGCATGCGGTGGCTGGGCATGCGGGCTACATGACCCAGCCAATACCCCCACGACCACCACCATCATCTACCCATCCAATACCCCCATCACCACCATCATCACAACCATCTACCCACCCAATAACCCCACCACCACCATCACCACCACCACTACCATCTACCCACCCAATAACCCCACCACCACCATCACCACCGCCATCTACCCACCCGCTCAATTTAGTGTCCGCTGTTAAATGGACGGTGCGTAGTATCTGCACGGTTAATCCGCACCACCGCCGACACCGCCGACACTTTCGCCACCGCCGCAGTAATTACCAGGGCGGCCACGAGATACGAAACCGTGAACCTCTGCAAGAAGCGGCGAACGCGCAAATATGATTTGTGGGTCATGAGTACGCACCTCCGATTAGCGCGGTTTTACTAAGTACGGCGCGAAAGAAGTTCAGCATACGAACATCCGTAAGGAATTTGAGTTAAGCCTCATGATAGCCAACACCATCACCACACTCTGCTGTGCCATCACCACACCTTCACCAATCCATCACCATACCATCACCAATCCATCACTCACTGGACCATCACCACACCATAAAACGGCTGTCTAAATTGAAAACGAATTTCTTTAGAACTGCTTTCTGTGTTTAGTTGTGTTGTCCTTCCCCCGCACCTTCGATGAGTACGGTTGGCTACGTACGGTGCGAAAGAAGTTCAGCATACATACAGACACCAATCAATTGCCACTCTGCCAACACCATCAGCACGCCTTCACACATCGATCACCGGACCATCACCACGACGTTTACCCCTGGCCCTTAATCTCACCGCGCAGATGCCAGGGGTCACGTACATCCAGCACCACTTAATGAGAGGGAATGGCCGGTATCCAATCATGTCCTCGATGTTGTCGTAGAATCTGTCCCCTCCTGCACTCACACACAAAGACAAAGGTAGCCCCTTGTAGCCCACGCATGTTGCTGGGGAAAGTGCTGATTCAAAGTAGCACCCTATGAAGACGTGGGTGGCCAGAACCACGCCCGACCGCCTTTGTCTCTCCAGTGTTGATGTTTACACACCGCACCACACGCACATAAAGATTCCCCCGTATAACCTTTATCAGGCTGTAGGGGCAAGTGCGGTGAGCGAGCACTTCTCTCCACTCTTCTCTGTTCAGCACACACACACAGCACACACACAGCACACACACATAGACACACACAGACAGCACACATACAGCACACACACACACCACACGCACACAGACACAGCACACACACACAGCACACACACACACAGCACACACCACACAGACACAGCACACACACACAGACACAGCACACACACACAGCACAAACACACAGACCCAGCACACACAACACACACACAAACCCAGCACACACAGACACAGCACACAGACACAGCACACACACAGCACACAGACACAGCGCACACACATCACTCACATTTAACTTATCCACTTATTGACATAACCACTTCTTAACTCAGCCACTTATTAACTTAGCCACGTAATAGCTTAGGCACTTCATAACTTAGCCACTTCATAACATAATCACTTCTTAACTTAGCCACTTCATAACATAATCACTCTTAACTTTGCCACGTCCTAACGCAGCCACTTAATTGTCATCGATGTGAAGCGCCGTAAGATCCGATGCCAGGCGACATGCGAGCTGTAATTAGTGCCATTTGTATTATTCGCTTCGGCTTCTGTCGTATCCACTGCTGCTGCTGCTGCGCTTAGCACTGCTGACGCCGCGAGAAAGAACGATCCTAGGGGGACCCCCCCCCCCACGAAATATCGCTGACCATCACAAGAAGGGAGTCCCCTAAGTCATTGCTCCTCCCCCCCAACTCCCTACCAGCCTCCCTCCCCATTCATTAATCACGCACACATTGTGAGTGAATCAGGCAGCAGAGAGGGATTGGGAGGTTGGGGGGGGGGGCATTGGTGGCTGGTGGGAATTGGGGGGGGGCATTGGTGGTTGGTGGGAATTGGGGGGGGCATTGGTGGGTGGTGGGAATTGGGGGGGGGGCATTGGTGGTTGGTGGGAATTGGGGGGGGCATTGGTGGGTGGTGGGAATTGGGGGGGGGGCATTGGTGGTTGGTGGGAATTGGGGGGGGGCATTGGTGGGTGGTGGGAATTGGGGGGGGCATTGGTGGTTGGTGGGAATTGGGGGGGGGCATTGGTGGTTGGTGGGAATAGGGGGGGGGGGGGCATTGGTGGTTGGTGGAAATTGGGGGGGGCATTGGTGGGTGGTGGGAATTGGGGGGGGCATTGGTGGGTGGTGGGAATTGGGGGGGGGCAATGGTGGTTGGTGGAAATTGGGGGGGCATTGGTGGTTGGTGGAAATTGGGGGTCAAAGCCAAGGGGGGAGGGGGGGCTGTAGCAGGGAGCAGTGCTGGGTTCTGATCCCTCCCCTTTCTCCCCTGTGGGTGGGTAGGTGAGTGGGTAGGAGAATTCGCGAATGGGTGAGTGGTTGAGTGAGTGGTTGAGTGAATGGTTGAGTGGGTGAGAGCGTGGTTGAGTGGGTGGGTGAGTGAGTGAGTCAGCGGGTGGGTGAGTGGTTGAGTGGGTAGGTAAATTAGTGGTTGAGTGAGTGAGTGAGTGCTTGGGTGAGTGAGTTGGTGAGTGGGTGAGTGAGTGGTTGAGTGAGTGAGTGTATGAGTGTACGAGTGAGTGAGTGAATGGTTGAGTGAGTGAGTGGATGAGTGGGTGAGTGGATGAGTGAGCGGGTGAGTGAGTGGGTGAGTGAGTGAGTTGGTGAGTGAGCAGGTGAGTAAACGGGTGAGTGAGTGGGTGAGTGGGTGAGTGAGTGAGTGGGCAAGTGCCTTCACCGTATATCCATCCGATGCAGATGGACTCAAAGACAGCAACGAAGAGCAGACACATGCCACTGGCCGCGTAGTAGTCGAACAGCTGGAAGATGTACATTCCTCCCTACAACGTCACCAACGTCAACAACAACATCAACAACATCACCATCAACAACGTCATCAACAACATCAACTTCACCATAACCATCAACGTCATCAACATTAACAACATATAAATGGTGTCCCTCCCCACACACCTCCGATTAGCATGGTTGACTACGCACAATGCGAAAGATGTTTCAACATTCTTACATACATCACCATAACCATCAATATCACCATCAACATCACCATCAACGTCATCAATATCACCATCAACATCACCGTCAACAACATCACCGCCATCAACAACATCAACAACATCAACATAAACATCAACAATATCACCACCATTAATACACGTGCACACACATAGACGTAGAGATGTGTGTACACACAAAGACAAAAATCCACCGTATAGCCTTAACAGACTGTTGGGGCAAGTGCTCCTACAGTCACACGTACATTACTTTGTATTATTAACATTATTACCCTTACACTATGAGACCTCCTTTACCAGTGGCAAAATATACTAATAGGTTTTTACCCTTTCATCTGGCGTCATCTGGTCCAACACTAATGGAGACTAGGCTCTAAGAAAAGCTGTCTCGGGTGTGGACCAATCAACTTAAAGGACAGTGCATATCATTATCATCATCAGAGTTGTTTCTTTTTGTTTGCATTTTGACTGCTTGTATTGTGGTTATTGCAAACATGATGCCTTGTATAAAGGTGTCAGTTTTTGTACCAGTTGAAAGGGTAAAAACCTATTACTATTATTACCCTTGTTCACACACTCACCGAGTCTCCAGACCCGTTTTCAGGACGGTCCTGCCAAGTTTTTCGCAGTAGGGGGAGCTATGATGTTGTTGCTGTGTGAAGCCAATTGAGTGATTTGCGGGCAATTTTTCAGCATTGAGACGTTTGGCCAATACCAGTTCCACTGTGGGTGTGGGTTTGGCTATGAGAAGAAACCGGTGAGCCTGGAGGAAACCCATGCAGAACAGGGGGAGAATATACACACTCCAAAGATCCAACCGTATATCCATTAAGGGGCCGTCCATAAATGACGTCACACGATTTTGGACGATTTTTGACCCCCCCCCCTCGTCACACGGCGTCACAAAAGTCGGAACCCCACTCAAATATGATGTCACAAAGCTCTGCCCCCCCCCCTCAAAAAATAAAACATGCTTCAAATCGCTTTAAACTATTGTCATTGTAGTGCGTGTTTAATGTGGCGCTGCACTCTGATGTTGTAGGAGAAAACATTTGCTAAAAAGTATATTTAATTAAGTAGAACGTGTTGTCTATATTTATTTAAAGTTGCGCATTTTTACGTGACGTTTTTCAACCCGCCCCCCCTCGTCACACATCGTCACAAATGTCTGACCCCCCCCCCCCTAGGTGCGTGACGTCATTTATGGACGGCCCCTAACAGACTGTTGGGGCAAGTGCTGTTAGCGAGCACCTATGAAGGCCGGCACGGCACACGCGGGGGTGGGTGACGACCACAATGCTCGGCCGCCTTTGTCTCCCCAGTGGCGACTTTCAAACCGCACCAGGTACTCATTGGAGGCTGAGTCGACCTAGGGGAGGCCCAGAACCGATTCAGATAATCGTCACCGGTGTTGGCCGTGAGCGGGAACCGAACGCAGGTCGCCGGGTTCATAGAGCAGCGTAGCGCTAACCACTGCGCCACTGCTCCCCACTCCACACACTCCGTAGGCCAGGTATTACCACGATGCCACCCTGCTGCTATAAAGATGCAAGTTGACGCACGTGTGCACATATGTAGATCTAGACCAAGATCCCCACTGTAGTCTCAACAGCCTCTTGAGGAAAGTCCTGCTGGTGAAGATTGTGGTATGGGCAGAACAATGTCTGTCAGCCTTTGTCTCCCCAATGCCCATGTTTATTTTGCACACCGGGCACTCATTTGAGGGCCGAGTCGACCTAGGGGAGGCCCAGGACCGGTTCAGGTAATCGTCACCGGTGTGTTGGCTGCGAGCGAAGAGCGGCTTCGTAGCGCAGGGCGCTAACCGTTGCGCCACCGCTCCCCACGACGCGCACGTGCACACAAACCACCACACGGACAACGTGCACGCGTCCAGCACTCACTCATTGGCGGTCAGTCGCCTCCTTGTCACTCTTCTATCGCTACTACAACCACGGTGACGACCATTCCCGTGGACTTAACACGTTGCGTCCTCGACCACCACCACACTGCAGGTCACAACATCGCACTCGCCCACTCGTTCACTCGCACACTCACTCACTTGCCCACTCACTCTCTAACAAAGACAAAGAGCACCATTGGAACCTCATTTGCTAGTAAATGCTTCCCCCGAGCTCTCATACTCTGATGGTTCATTGTCTTTGAGTTGTGCGCCTTTTGGCGTCATCTGGTCCAACCCATGTGAGACTAGACTCTAAGAAAAGCTGTCTCGGGTGTGGACCAATCAACTTGAAGGACAGTGCATATATTATCAGAGTTATGTTTTTTTGTTTGCATTATGGCTGCAGGTATTGTGGTCTATGCAAACATGACTCCTCGTAAAAAAAAGGTGTTAGTTTTGTTGCCAGATAAAAGAGTAAAAAAACTATTATCAAAGACAAAGAGATCTCCCGTATGTGCGACGTGCCGGCCTTCATAGGTGCCGCTCGCTTCACAGCACTTGCCCCAACAGTGCATTGAGGCTGCGCGGGGGATCTTTGTCTGGGTGCGCGTGCGTACCTCCGTGAGCATGATGAGGCCCAGGAAGAAGGAGATGATGGACACGCACAGGATGAGCAGCTCGCGTCTGCGGCCGAAGCGGAACGTCTTGGGGTACATGTCCACCATGGCCGTCACCAGGCTCTCCACGCACACGAACTGGGGGGGGGGGGGGGCACGGGGGAACACACGGATGTAGAGGAGACACGTGGACACGGGAGAGGGGCGAGACGTGGAGTTGGAGGGGACACGGGGTGGACATGGGAACAGGGTGACAGAGTAAGACACGGGGGGGGGGAGCAGGGGGTTAGAGGGGACAGGGTGAGGCACGGGGAAAGAGGGGTAGAGGCATGGGGGGTTGGGTGAGGTGCAGAAGAGTAGGGGGCACGAGTATAGAGGGGTAGAGGCATGGGGGTTTGGGTGAGGTGCAGGAGAGTAGGGGGCACGGGGACAAGAGGGGTAGAGGCATGGGGTGATTGGACTGGGTGCAGGAGAGAAGGGGGAACGGGGACAAGAGGGGTAGAGGCATGGGGTGATTGGACTGGGTGCAGGAGAGAAGGAGGCACGGGGACAAGAGGGGTAGAGGCATGGGGGGGTTGGACTGGGTGCAGGAGAGAAGGGGGCACGGGGACAAGAGGGGTAGAGGCATGGGGGGGTTGGACTGGTGCAGGAGAGAAGGGGGCACGGGGACAAGAGGGGTAGAGGCATGGGGGGGTTGGACTGGTGCAGGAGAGAAGGGGGCACGGGGACAAGAGGGGTAGAGGCATGGGGGGGTTGGACTGGTGCAGGAGAGAAGGGGGCACGGGGACAAGAGGGGTAGAGGCATGGGGTGATTGGACTGGGTGCAGGAGAGAAGGGGGCACGGGGACAAGAGGGGTAGAGGTATGGGGGGGTTGGACTGGGTGCAGGAGAGAAGGGGGCACGGGGACAAGAGGGGTAGAGGCATGGGGGGGTTGGACTGGGTGCAGGAGAGAAGGGGGCACGGGGACAAGAGGGGTAGAGGCATGGGGGGGTTGGACTGGGTGCAGGAGAGAAGGCGGCACGGGGACAAGAGGGGTAGAGGCATGGGGGGGTTGGACTGGGTGCAGGAGAGAAGGGGGCACGGGGATGGAGGGGTAGAGGTATGGGGGGTTTAGACTGGGTGCAGGAGAGAAGGGGGAACGGGGACAAGAGGGGTAGAGGCATGGTTGGGTTGGACTGGGTGCACGAGAGAAGGGGGAACGGGGACAAGAGGGGCAGCAGGGAGGATAGAGAGAGGGACAGGCCGGGCGCGCGTGACGTCTCGGTGGTGAACGACGCGACGCGCGCGGGGCGGTGATGTCGGCGGCAAATTTTCTCTCATTCCTTTATTTGTTTGCTCATTCGAATAATTCTACCTGGGCGAATATTCACCACGGCGACGCCCCTAGCTCACCACGGCGGGCCAGCACGCCGCTTACCCACCTGGCTGTCGAGGCCCAGGAATATGAGCATGAGGAAGAAGAGCGACGCCCAGAGCGGGGCGAGGGGCATCATGGAGACAGCACGCGGGTAGGCGATGAACGCCAGGCCGGGACCTGGGGAGACACGCGGCCAGGGAGACACCGAGCGTGGCGAGTTTACGTTTGTTGTGTGGTCGCTTGTTTGTCTCCTGTGATACGCGCCGCGTCCCTCCGAAGGTCAGCTGTCTCTTGTACGTACGTTGAACTTCTTTCGCGCCGTACGTAGCCAACCGCGATAGTCGGAGGTGTGGGGGAAGGACAACAAACTGAACACAAACATCAGATCTCAAGAAATGAGTCTTCAATCGAGATGATTTAAAAGTGCATAGCTCCCGGTGACTTCCTAATATCGGAAAGGAAGAGCGTTCCAGACGGCCGCAGAAGCCCGTCTGAAAGCGCGCGATGCGGTGACCGTCTTTGTTCGATGGCTTAGCCGAAAGCTGCTGCTGCGAGGATGACCGGAGTTCGCGTGATGATGGTTTATGCTCCTTGACGAAATCAGCGTTGTGTGTAATGAGTGCGATCTGTTCCTGGACTGATCGGACTGTTGCCACCGTGCAGTACCCAAGCTTTGGGACAACGCGTTGCCTTTGCTAATTATCAGACGCTCGGAGTCGATGGAGCCATTTAAGTCCCATCTTCTAAACTGACCTCTTTAAACTGGCCTCTACCCCCTCCCCAGCCTAGGTCTGGCCATACATCCTGGTTCTGAGCGAGTGGATGAGTGAGGGGGTGAGTGGGTGAGTTGGTGAGTGACTGGGTGATTTGGTGAATGAGTCGGTGAGTAAGTGGGTAAACTCGCCTTTAACCCCCGCCTCGTTCTGCCCGTTCACCATGCAGGTTCTGTTTATTTTCTGGCTTTCCATTACACGGTGACCCGGAGAAAAATCCACGCAACCCACGGGCAGAATATGCAAAACTCCAAATATAGAAGCGTCAGGGTCGGGATCTAACCCACGACCTCCTGTATGCCAGGCGAGGTAGTAAACATCTCCTAGCCACCGTGGCACCCTTTAATATTGCTGGTTCCCTCAAATGCGATCGCTATTCAGTATCCGCAATGTTGTTATTTGTTATTCGCCGCTGTAACTTGTCACCAAGCGTCTCCGCTGCTTTACGACATTCTTTCATAAAGCAGCTGACGGCTGAAAGCTTCTTACCCACATCAACAAATACAATCAATGAGATGCCGTGGGTGGGAGACACGCGGAAGCGAGGGACACTCAGAATGGGAGACATGGGAATGGGAGATAAGGGGAGTGGGAGACACAGGAATTAAAAACACAGGGATGGGAGACACGGGAGCTGGGAGACACGGGAGGAGGGAGACACGGGAGGAGGGAGACACGGGAGGAGGGAGACACGGGAGGAGGGAGACAAGGGAGATGGAAAACTCCAGCACCATTTCATCTACTCAAAGCCGTCAGGGACCGAGCGCTTGGTTGACAATAACTTCCGTCACAATTGTAGTCAGCAAAGTGGTAACGCTGCCGCCCCCTTAACCCGCACGACCCCCCCCCCCCCCACCCTGAACCCACCTGACTCGGCGACCTCGGCGATGTTGACCCCCTGCTCGAGTGCCATGAAGCCGAGCACGGAGAAGATGGCGAAGCCAGCGATGAAGCTCGTGCCGCTGTTCAGGCAGCACAGCATCACGCAGTCCCTGCAGGGGGGGGGGGGGGGGGGGGGTCACGGGTCAGTACCATGAAGATTCAGAGGTCATAAGCACGAGGAGTCGACAGGACACAGTCACTCGAATCAGAGGTCAGGGGTCATCAACAAGGGGTCAGCTGTCAGTACCATAAGCGATCAGGGGTCAGTATCAAATAAGCCAGGATCGTGTGTCAAGAGAATGTCTTTGTGTGCGTATTATTATTGTGTTGTCCAAGTGTGTGTACGTGTGTGGGGAACGGTAGCGCGGTGGTTAGTGCAGTGCAGTGCACAGTGCGCTGACCCAACCAGGGGGCCCAAGTTTGATTCCCGCTCACGGCCGACACCAGTGATGATTATCTAAAACGGTCCTGGGCATCCCCTAGGTCGACTCGGCCTAAAATGAGTGCCCGGTGTGGTTTGTAAACAGCACCGCTCGGAAAATAAAGATGCTGCCCACATCACACGCTCGTGTGCAGTGCCATCTTTGATAGGTGCTCCCTAACAACACTTGCCCCAACAGTCTGTTGAAGCTATACGGGGGGATCTTTGTCTTTTTCTAGCTGTGTGAGACAAATGGGGAAACGTGGCGCGGTGGTTAGCATACTGCGCTTCGAACCCGGCAGACCTGAGTTCGATGCCCGTCCAGGGCTGAGATCTTATCGGCAGCAAGCGATATCTGAACCGGCCCTGAAGCCTACCCCGAGGTCAACCCAGCCTTAAAATGAGTACCTGGTGTAAAGCATCAGCACTGGAGAGACAAAGGCGTCCGGGCATGTCGCTGAGCACACCAGCCCCTCGTGTGACGTGCGAGCCTACATAGGTGCTCTCTGACAGCACTTCCCCCAACAGTCCTGTAAGGCTACACGGGGGATGTTTGTCTTTGAGTGTCCCGTGACCTCTTGACAAAGAGTCACTCACACTCCACGCGACGGCCTCAAGGTGCACCTAGCCTGGCGCAAGCGCCGTGGTGACGTCACCGCCACTCGGTGGCGAAACCGAGCCGCGCCGTTTCTGCTGTTGTACAGGCGTCCCTCTAGGCCGACTCAGCCTAAAATGCATCGCACACCTGTAGCAGTTGTTGTTGTAGTTGTTGTAGCTCCCCAAGGCGGTGAGGCATCCCAGGCAGATGGCGTAGGAGAAGAAGATTTGAGTCCCTGCGTCAACCCACACCTGCGAGAGACACGCGGAGAAAGAGAAAGGTCACCCGTATAGCCTACACAGACCGTTGGGGCAAGTGCTGTTATCGAGTCCTTGTTAAGGCTGCAGTGCCAGGCGAGGGAATGGGTGGCTGGTACCACGCCCGGCCGCCTTTGTCTGCGAGGTGTTCAACTTAGGGGAGGCCCAGGACCGGTTCAAATAATCGCCACCGATGTTGGCCCGTGAGCGGGAATCCAACTCGGATCGTCGAGTTCGTCGTGCAGCACGCCAACCACTGCGCCACCGCTCTCCGTAGCAGACAGACACGGTAGCACGCAAAGCGACACACACGCGCAGCGTAATGCCAAGCTTGCGTCTCTCTCGTTGCTGTGGCCAATTATTCAGTGAAGAACGGAGACGATTAGAATTATCGACAAGCGGCGACGGGTGGCGAGATATGGACCTCCGCTGTTAGCGACCGACAGCCCAGACACCCGGGGGGTCGATAGCAGATGTGGCGCGTGAACATGGGGAGCTGAGGAGGTCCGTGGGTTGAGGAGTGGCTGGATGGGTAGCTGCCCGGGTGGGTGGCTGGGTGGGTGGGTGGCTGGGTGGGTAGGTGGCTAGGTGGCTGGGTGGGTGGCTGGGTGGGTAGGTGGGTAGGTGGCTAGGTGGGTGGGTGGCTGGGTGGGTGGGTGGATGGCTGGATGGGTAGGTGGCTAGGTGGCTGGGTGGGTAGGTGGCTGGGTGGGTAGGTGGCTGGGTGGGTAGGTGGCTGCCCGAGTGGATGGCTGGGTGGGTGGGTGGCTGAGTGGGTGACTGGATGGCTGGCTGGGTGACTGGGTGGGTGGGTGGATGGCTGAGTGGGTGTGTGGGTAGTTGGCTGGGTGGCTGGGTAGCTGGGTGACTGGTGGCTTGGTGACTGCGTGACGAGGACGCTGCGTGTTTGGGTGGGAGGCTATCAGTCATTACACCTTAAGACTTTTTCAGAGTTAGTCAACCAAATTATGGCCGAGAGTCGCGAAATCACAGTAAAGTGCGTGATAAGAAGCGGGTTGAATTGATGGAGGAAGCAATGGCAATTATTATTCCACGTATTTACCCAGGAAAGCCTGAGTCTAAAGAGCCTTATTCAGGAGGGTCCTGCCAAGTTTTCGCAGTAGCAAGGCGTAGGGCCAATGTTGTCACTGGCATCATCCAAACGAGTAATTTGCAGGTAATTCTTCATCATTAGGATGTTTTGGCCCAAAAATCAGTGACATTCTATGTTTTTTTTTGTAACTATGGGAGGAAGCCGGAGAGCCTGGAGGAGCCCATGAGGAGAGAGAATACAAACTCCACACACTCACTCTCAATCTACACAACAGGGGAGAGAGAATACAACTCTGCACAGAATGGGGCCCGAGTCCCGAATCGAACCCAGGTGTCTTTTTTGCTCTTCGGCGCGAGTGTTACCACCGTGATGATGCCACCCGGCCGTGATGGCGGTAGTGATGGAGATGGTGATGAAGGAGCGGGGGGGGTGATGGGGGGGGGGGTGATGGGGGGGGTGATGGGGGGGGAGTGATGGGGGGACTGATGCTCCCCTCCCTCCCCTCTCCCCTCCCTCCCCTCCCCCTCTCCCCTCCCTCCCCCTGTCCCCTCCCTCCCCCTCTCCCCTCCCTCCCCCTCTCCCCTCCCTCCCCCTCTCCCCTCCCTCCCCCTCTCCCCTCCCTCCCCCTCTCCCCCTCTCCCCTCCCCCCCTCTCCCCTCCCTCCCCTCCCTCCCCTCCCTCCCCCTCTCCCCTCCCTCCCCTCCCCCTCTCCCCTCCCTCCCCTCCCCCTCTCCCCTCCCTCCCCTCTCCCCTCCCTCCCCCTCTCCCCTCCATACCCCTCTCCCCTCCCTCCCCTCCCCCTCTCCCCTCCCTCCCCCTGTCCCCTCCCTCCCCCTCTCCCCTCCCTCCCCCTCTCCCCTCCCTCCCCTCCCCCTCTCCCCTCCCCCCCTTTCCCCTCCCCTCTCCCCTCCCTCCCCTCCCTCCCCCTCTCCCCTCCCTCCCCCTCTCCCCTCCCTCCCCCTCTCCCCTCCCTCCCCCTCTCCCCTCCCTCCCCCTCTCCCCTCCCCTCTCCCCTCCCTCCCCTCCCCTCCCCCTCTCCCCTCCCTCCCCCTCTCCCCTCCCTCCCCCTCTCCCCTTCTCATCCTCCCCTCGTCTCCCCCTCTCCATCCTTCCCTCATCTCCCCAGCCCTCCCTTTGTCTCCTTGTCAAGTCCCTCTCGCTCCTCGAGTCATTACTGCAATCGCAGTGGGGACGTCAATGTCGTCGTCGTCGTCGTCTCCGTCTCAGCTGCGGGCTCAGGAGGAGCAGGGGGGGTGGAGACGACGGGGGGAGGGGGGAGGGGGAAGGGGGGAGTGAGGAGTGCCCCCCCCCCCACACGCCCTCCTCTCATCACGTGACTCGCCAACATCAATTTCACGGCACCCGCGTTGCCTCGAGGGTAAGGAGGGGGTGAGGGGAGGTGGGGGTGTGGGGGGTAAGGGGGAGGGGCTCCTCCCCGCCTAATGCCCCCCCCCCCTCCTGCCCGTTATGTAAGGAGGAAGCCGCGTGGTGGGGGGGAGCAAAAGTGAAGCCTCATGCCCTAACGATACCTCCTCCATCTCATTATCAGCCTCCTCCTCCTCATCAACTTCCTTCTCCTCGCCATTATTATCCTCAATAGCCTCAGCCTTCTCATAGACCCCAGAGAAAACCCGCCTCGTAACAGGACGGGGCTGACTCTCGAAGCTCCCCACAGATGGAACCAAGAATCCACTGCCGTGTTGGCAGAGGATGCCTTCGTTCAGCAATGGATTGACCACGGCTGATGATGATGATGGAGACACGTGTGTATTGTATAGAGCTTTGAGGTGTGGGTGCACTGCCGATGCTGAACAGATAACCTGGTGTGTGAAAGTGAGTGTGAATGTGAGAGTGTGTGTAGGTGAGAGTGTGTGAAAGTGAGTGTGTATGTGATATTTTCAACGTGGTCTAATGGAACATCTTCGCCGGTTAGAAACATTTAGGCTGGCCTGCCTACGATCCATCCTGGGTTTAACCAGGCTGGATTGTGTGAGGAGCTCAAAAATCCTTGAAAGATCTGGACAAAGTCCCATCGGTGAGCTCCTCCGGCAGGCAAGGCTGCGTTGGCTGGGTCATGTTGCCCGCATGCCCAGCCACCGCATGCCTAAACAACTTTTGTTCGGCCGGATCGAGGGGGCTAAATGGGCGCGGCACGGGCTAGAGAAGAGATGGAGTGATGTGGTACAGGAGGACGTGGAGCTGAGTGGACTTGCCGATGATTGGTACCAGCGGTGTCAAGATCTGCCTCTGTGGAGGAGGCTCGTGAAGGACGCTACTGGGCTATTGGAGGCAGTCGCCCTCCAACAACAACGGAGGGCGGAGGAGCGACGCTCACAACAACGAGCGGAGTGCCGGGTGGCTAAAGCACAGCAAGTTGGCACAGTAGGGGGCACAAGTGGTGCATCAGCCAGTTATTTCGGTCATCTCAGTCAGTCGACCCGTGGCACCTGCTGGGTCTGCTCCATGACCTCCTGCCAGCGGGCGTTCGACACTTCACGTGGCCTCAAGGTGCACATGGCCTGGCACAAGCGTCGTGGTGACGTCACGGCCACTTAGTGGCAAATGGCGGTTGTTGTTGTGTGTGGGGGGAGCGGTAGTGTAGCGGTTAGCGTGCTGCGCTACGAACCCGGCGACTCGGGTTCGATTCATGCTCACGGCCAACACCAGTGACGACTATCTGCACCGGTCCTGGGCCTCCCCTAGGTAGACTCAGCGTCAAATGAGTACCCGGTGCAGTGTGTAAACATTGCCACTGGGGAGACAAAGACGGTCGGGCGTGGTGCTGGCCACCCACCCCCTCTTGTGCGGTGCCGGCATTCATAGGTGCTCGCACAAAACGTCTGATAAGGCTATACAGGGTTTTTTTGTCATTTATTAATGTGAGAGTGTGTATGAGTGTGTGAGTATGCGAGGTGGTATTTGCGTTATCCGGCCATAATTGTGACAAACATTGGTGAAGGGATTGCGAGTTCACTCACATGGAACTCGGGTGCCATGCGTCTCCATTAGCAAGGCGACCACTCGGATCGATGGGAGGGAGGAGGGAGGGGACGGGGGAGCGACGTGATGGATGAACAGCGGAGGAGATCGACAAGGGAGTCGAGTGGAGGAGGGAGGTGAGGGGAGGGAGGTGAGGTGGGGAGAGGGGAGGGAGGTGAGGGGAGGGAGGTGAGGGGAGGGAGGTGGGGAGAGGGGAGGGAGGTGAGGTGGGGAGAGGGGAGGGAGAGGGAAGTGGGGAGAGGGAGGTGAGGTGAGGTGGGGAGAGGGAGGGGAGGTGGGGAGAGGGAGGTGGGGAGAGGGGAGGGAGAGGGAAGTGAGGGGAGGTGAGGGGAGGGAGGTGAGGTGGGGAGAGGGAGGTGGGGAGAGGGAGGGAGGGAGAGGGGAGGAAGGGGAGGTGGAGGGAGGGGAGGTGGGGAGAGGGGAGGTGGGGAGAGGGGAGGTGGGGAGAGGGAAGTGGGGAGAGGGGAGGGAGGGGAGTTGGGGAAAGGGGAGGGAGGGGAGGTGGGGAGAGGGAGGTGGGGAGAGGGGAGGGAGGGGAGTTGGGGAGAGGGGAGGGAGGGGAGGTGGGGAGAGGGAGGGAGGGGAGGTGGGGAGAGGGAGGTGGGGAGAGGGGAGGGAGGGGAGTTGGGGAGAGGGGAGGGAGGGGAGGTGGGGAGAGGGAGGGAGGGGAGGTGGGGAGAGGGAGGTGGGGAGAGGGGAGGGAGGGGAGGTGGGGAGAGGGAGGTGGGGAGAGGGGAGGGAGGGGAGTTGGGGAGAGGGGAGGGAGGGGAGGTGGGGAGAGGGAGGGAGGGGAGGGAGGTGAGGGGAGGGAGGTGGGCAGGGGGAGGTGGTGAAGAGGGTGGTGAGGGTAAGAGAGAGGATTGCAAGGGAGGCGTCATCGTCAGGGGAAGTGAGCGTGGGTCTCAGATAGAGACGCGAGCAGTCACACACGGAGATGATGGGGGGCGGGTAGAGGAGGGGGGAGGGGCTATGGGGGGAGGAGGATAGAGTCAGGGGGAGGGGCTATGGGGGAGGGTAGAGGAGGAGGGAGGAGGGGCTGTGGGGGGAGGGTATAGAAGGGGGGAGGGGCTGTGGGGGGGAGGGTAGAGAAGGGGGAGGGGGCTGTGGGGGGAGGGTAGAGTCAGAGGGAGGGGCTGTGGGGGGAGGAGGGTAGAGTCAGGGGAAGGGGCTGTGGGGGAGGGTAGAGGAAGAGGGATGAGGGGCTGGCACACCTGTGGGTCGGAGAGGCGGCTCAGGTCGGGGTAGAGGTAGAACTTGACCCCCTCGGAGGCGCCGGGCAGCGTGACCCCGCGCAGCAGCAGCACCACGAGCATCACGTAGGGGAAGGTGGCCGTCACGTACACCACCTACACGGGAGGGGGGGGGGGAGGATTGAGCGGAGGTGTAATGCAGGCGAGCCGGTGCGCGGGGCGGTCGCGGGAGACATCAGGTGGCCCCCGTGGCGCACGCTCATGGACGCTGGCGCACATCCGATTCGCACCATTGGCTTACGCACGGTGGGTGAAAGGCGCTCAATGGTCTGCTCTCCTGTATCACATGTTTTCATAACGCGGATTTGGATAAAAGGCAATTGAGTGAACGGAAGTACGCCGCGAGAGGAGGAATAGGCGGTCGTACGGCTGCCTCGGCGTAGCATCGCGCAACAAGGCGGGATGCTGCTGGATGCTGCTAGATGCTACCCACGTGCCTCAGTCTTCTCTGCGGCCTGCGTGCGCATCTCACGCGTTATCGTGGACTGTGCTGCACCCGACATTTTTTATTGTTCATCAAAACGCGATTTTTACATTGCGCGGTCTTCTTCAGGGACGCAACAACTACGACCGCGTAATCGGAGAACACGAACTGTGCACATTTACGTATGTGGTGACTGGAGGTGCGGCTACCACCCTCCCAGGACGGTGGTGACTGCATCCCGCAATGATCTCGTCTGATCTACCGAAGCTCGCTGCCCTGTCTGTGGATGGTGCCGCATGTTGCTGGTCGCTCGGCACCATCCCTTGAGGGGGGGTTGGGCTTTGGTGGGGGGAGTCTCTGGCGAGCGGCGCCCACGCACCTTGCCGGTGGACTTGGTTCCCTTCCAGATGCAGAAGTAGCAAATGATCCACGCGGCGAGGAGACACAGCGCCAGCTCCCAGCGCAGAGAGCCAATCTTCTCGATCCCAGACGAGAGACCCAGCACACGGCGCCTGGAGGTGGGGGGGGGGGGGGGAGGTGGGGGGTGGGGGCAGAGAAAGATGGAAGAGGACGACAGAGAATACATAAATTAATTTTCGTGCATTTAAAATATACTTACATTATACACTGCAAAGTGGCGTTATATTGCATTGGGATGAATGTCCTGGTGAGATGAGTGACCGGCAGGTGAGATGTGCAACTAGAAAGTGAGATGAGTAACCATGTGAGGTGAGTGCAAGTAAGATGAGTAACCAGATAAGACGAGAGTTCAGTTGATTTGAATGACCAGGTGAGATGAGTGTCCGGGTGAGATGAGTGTCCGGTTAAGATGAAATTTCTGGGACGATGAGTGGACAGGACAGATGCGTGACCCTGTTAGGTGAGTAACCAGGTGAGATGAGTAACCAGGTGAGATGAGTGACCAGGTGAGATGAGTAACCAGGTGAGATGAGTAACCAGGTGAGATGAGTGACCGGGTGAGATGAGTAACCAGGTGAGATGAGTGACCCTGTTAGGTGAGTAACCAGGTGAGATGCGTGACCCTGTTAGGTGAGTAACCAGGTGAGATGAGTAACCAGGTGAGATGACTAACCAGGTGAGATGAGTGACCAGGTGAGATGAGTAACCAGGTGAGATGAGTGACCGGGTGAGTCCACTCACTCCCAGAACTCGATGACGGGTGACGTGGCGTTGGACTTCCCCAGGAGGATCGTCCCATTGGCCTGCGTCAGGTTCACCCGGAACTCTTGACAGTTCACTGGGGTCGGTTGAGCAGCAGAGAAAGGTCATTTACAGAGCAAAACCTCCACCTTGGCTATCACCACCTCCAACGGTCATCTCAACCAGCGTCTTCTAGAATACCTCCATCACACTCACCAACAACACAGCCGTCAATATTCCAACCGACAACTCCACCTTCACCATCACCAACATCTCAACCACCATCTCAAACACCTCCGACACCACAATCTCACCCAAAGACAAAGGTCTCCCCGATAGCCTTAACAGACTGTTGGGGCGAGGGCTGTTAGCGAGCACCTATTAAGGCCTGCACGGCACACAAGGGGGTGGGTGGCCAGCACCACGCCCGGCCACCTTTGTTTCCCAATGCTGATGTTTCTACACTGTAAGAGGTAATTAAGGCTGAGTCGTCCTAGGGCAGGCCCATAACCAGTTCAGATATTTGTCAATGGTGTTGGTCGTGAGTGGGAATTGAACATGGGTCGCTGGGTTCGTAGCACTGCACGCTAACCGCTCCCCACCATCTCCACCACCTTCATTACCGACACCGCCACCACCACCTCCTCCACCACTACTACCTCCACCATCATGAGCAACTCCTTCACCACCTCCACTGCATTTCCTACCACCTTCATCACCAACGTTTCAACCTCGGTATCAAGACCTCTGACACCACAAACACCTCCTTCAACACCCCCTTCTCCACAACCTTCACCATCACCTCCACCACCTTAATAATAATGCAGTTTATAACGCGTGAAAATTTGCGAATGTAATGGCCGCAACTCAGAGGCGTGGAGCCAAGCTCAGAGTCACTCGAAAGCACGTAGTTGTCGAGGTGAGTGTCTTTTAAGTGTCTCTTGAAGGAGACGTTTGAGGTGATGCTGCAAATGTGCAGAGGGATTGCGTTCCAGACTGTTGGGGCAGCCACCAAGAAGCGGTGCATAGACGTGACAATCCTGGATCTTGGTATCATGAGGAGGTCGTGAGTCGCGCTGCGCAGGCATCTGCCGTGTGCCGTGATGCAAGTCGTCAATAATGAAGAGAGGTACGGGGGGCAGGCAGATGTGAAGGCATGGTGGCAGAAGCAGGCAGTCTTGTACGTGACCCTGCTGGCGATGGGTAGCCAGTGGAGGGCACGGAGACAGGCAAGCGAGTCGAGACGTGGATGAGTGCGGCCAATGACGATGCGTGCCAGGTTGTTTTGTAGTCTTTGAAGTTTTTTGAGGTTGCCAGTGGAGGTCCGGACTAGGACGGAGTTGCAATAGTCGAGGCGAGACCCAACTATGCAACATGCCAATGTGTTGGCGGTTTCAGTGGAGACGAGAGGACGTTGGTGTCTGAGAGCCTTCAGGTGAAAGTTACATGAACTGATGATATGATTGATTTGGTGGTCGAAGGATAAAGTTTAATCTAGGATGACACCGAGGTAGCTGAAGTGATCGGTGAACCTGATGCTGTGACCAAAGATGTGTATGTGTGTTGGGAGTGCGGATGAGTTGAGACGTTGCCTGGTACCTAACATGATGGCCACTGACTTTGACAGATTAAGGGCAAGGTTGTGTGCGGAGAACCACTGTTGCAGGGCAGTGGTGCATTCCGAGAGCCTCTCAAATCCAGACGCATTGGGAGAATTGATGGCGGTGAACATAACAGTGTCGTCCGCATATGAGTGGTACTTGACACCACCACCACCACCACCTCCACCACCACTAATATCTGAACCACAAACCTCCTTCACCACCATAATATATCGTATAATTTCAACTTTTAACGAGTACAGACTCGGAGGTGTGAGCAGGGAACCACAGACGAGCGGGAAAGAAGCCACGCGGTGAGCCAGCGCCAACAATTGTCCAAGCTCTCTACATATGAAGGTGTTATCGGTCAAAGAATGAGCGTTTACATATAGGAAGAAACTAGAGCACCGGGAGAAAACCCTCGTGTGCGTGGGAGAAACACTCTATCTCATACAGATGGAAAATAATGTAGGGTCCACATTTTCGGCTTCTCCTGGCGAGCCACGATACGGCTCCTCGATCCCCACGGGGATTTCCACAACATCTGTGCGTGTTCCACCAACCCTCACATCCACAGTGCTGGATTAGATGTCACGTGCATGGCCATCACCGTCATCATCTCCACGACCTTCTTCACCATCTCCATCACCACCACTACTTCCAACACCACCTCCATCACCCGCTCTACAACCTTCTCCACCAACGTCACCACCAACATCTCGATCACCATCCAACACCTACCCCACTACCTTTTCCACCTCACCATCATCTTCACCACCACCACGACCACCTCCACAATAATTAACTTCCAATACTAATATCGCAAGCACCATCTCCTCCACCAGCACCCCTAACATCTGAGACACCTCCAGCACTCCGCACAGCCCCGTACCGGTATTTTAACATTGTTGCAGGGAGAACACTGCATTCCACCTCCACCACCATTTACACCACCACAACCACTAACATCTCAGCTACCTCCACCACCATCCACACCACCACCACCATTAACATCTCAGCTACCTCCACCACTACCACCACCACCACAACCATTAACATCTCAGCTACCACCACCACCATCCACACCACCACAACCATTAACATCTCAGCTGCCTCCACCACCATCCACACCACCACAACCATTAACATCTCAGCTACCTCCACCACCATCCACACCACCACAACCATTAACATCTCAGCTACCACCACAACCATTAACATCTCAGCTGCCTCTACCACCATCCACACCACCACAACCATTAACATCTCAGCTACCACCACCACCACCACAACCATTAACATCTCAGCTGCCTCCACCACCATCCACACCACCACAACCATTAACATCTCAGCTGCCTCCACCACCATCCACACCACCACAACCATTAACATCTCAGCTACCTCCACCACCACCACCACCACAACCATTAACATCTCAGCTGCCTCCACCACTATCCACACCACCACAACCATTAACATCTCAGCTACCACCACAACCATTAACATCTCAGCTGCCTCCACCACCATCCACACCACCACAACCATTAACATCTCAGCTACCACCACCACCATCCACACCACCACAACCATTAACATCTCAGCTGCCTCCAGCACCATCCACACCACCACAACCATTAACATCTCAGCTACCTCCACCACCACCACCACCACAACCATTAACATCTCAGCTACCACCACCACCATCCACACCACCACAACCATTAACATCTCAGCTACCTCCACCACCATCCACACCACCACAACCATTAACATCTCAGCTACCTCCACCACCATCCACACCACCACAACCATTAACATCTCAGCTACCACCACAACCATTAACATCTCAGCTGCCTCCACCACCATCCACACCACCACAACCATTAACATCTCAGCTACCACCACCACCACCACAACCATTAACATCTCAGCTGCCTCCACCACCATCCACACCACCACAACCATTAACATCTCAGCTGCCTCCACCACCATCCACACCACCACAACCATTAACATCTCAGCTACCTCCACCACCACCACCACAACCATTAACATCTCAGCTACCTCCACCACCACCACCACAACCATTAACATCTCAGCTGCCTACACCACCATCCACACCACCACAACCATTAACATCTCAGCTACCACCACCACCATCCACACCACCACAACCATTAACATCTCAGCTACCTCCACCACCATCCACACCACCACAACCATTAACATCTCAGCTACCTCCACCACCACCATCCACACCACCACAACCATTAACATCTCAGCTACCTCCACCACCATCCACACCACCACAACCATTAACATCTCAGCTACCTCCACCACCACCATCCACACCACCACAACCATTAACATCTCAGCTACCTCCACCACCATCCACACCACCACAACCATTAACATCTCAGCTACCTCCACCACCATCCACACCACCACAACCATTAACATCTCAGCTACCTCCACCACCATCCACACCACCACAACCATTAACATCTCAGCTACCACCACCATCCACACCACCACAACCATTAACACCTCAGCTACCTCCACCACCATCCACACCACCACAACCATTAACATCTCAGCTACCTCCACCACCATTCACACCACCACAACCATTAACATCTCAGCTACCACCATCCACACCACCACAACCATTAACATCTCAGCTACCTCCACCACCACCACAACCATTAACATCTCAGCTACCTCCACCACTACCACCACCACCACAACCATTAACATCTCAGCTACCACCACCACCATCCACACCACCACAACCATTAACATCTCAGCTGCCTCCACCACCATCCACACCACCACAACCATTAACATCTCAGCTACCTCCACCACCATCTACACCACCACAACCATTAACATCTCAGCTACCACCACAACCATTAACATCTCAGCTGCCTCTACCACCATCCACACCACCACAACCATTAACATCTCAGCTACCACCACCACCACCACAACCATTAACATCTCAGCTGCCTCCACCACCATCCACACCACCACAACCATTAACATCTCAACTGCCTCCACCACCATCCACACCACCACAACCATTAACATCTCAGCTACCTCCACCACCACCACCACCACAACCATTAACATCTCAGCTGCCTCCACCACTATCCACACCACCACAACCATTAACATCTCAGCTACCACCACAACCATTAACATCTCAGCTGCCTCCACCACCATCCACACCACCACAACCATTAACATCTCAGCTACCACCACCACCATCCACACCACCACAACCATTAACATCTCAGCTGCCTCCAGCACCATCCACACCACCACAACCATTAACATCTCAGCTACCTCCACCACCACCACCACCACAACCATTAACATCTCAGCTACCACCACCACCATCCACACCACCACAACCATTAACATCTCAGCTACCTCCACCACCATCCACACCACCACAACCATTAACATCTCAGCTACCTCCACCACCATCCACACCACCACAACCATTAACATCTCAGCTACCACCACAACCATTAACATCTCAGCTGCCTCCACCACCATCCACACCACCACAACCATTAACATCTCAGCTACCACCACCACCACCACAACCATTAACATCTCAGCTGCCTCCACCACCATCCACACCACCACAACCATTAACATCTCAGCTGCCTCCACCACCATCCACACCACCACAACCATTAACATCTCAGCTACCTCCACCACCACCACCACAACCATTAACATCTCAGCTACCTCCACCACCACCACAACCATTAACATCTCAGCTGCCTACACCACCATCCACACCACCACAACCATTAACATCTCAGCTACCACCACCACCATCCACACCACCACAACCATTAACATCTCAGCTACCTCCACCACCATCCACACCACCACAACCATTAACATCTCAGCTACCTCCACCACCACCATCCACACCACCACAACCATTAACATCTCAGCTACCTCCACCACCATCCACACCACCACAACCATTAACATCTCAGCTACCTCCACCACCACCATCCACACCACCACAACCATTAACATCTCAGCTACCTCCACCACCATCCACACCACCACAACCATTAACATCTCAGCTACCTCCACCACCATCCACACCACCACAACCATTAACATCTCAGCTACCTCCACCACCATCCACACCACCACAACCATTAACATCTCAGCTACCACCACCATCCACACCACCACAACCATTAACACCTCAGCTACCTCCACCACCATCCACACCACCACAACCATTAACATCTCAGCTACCTCCACCACCATTCACACCACCACAACCATTAACATCTCAGCTACCACCATCCACACCACCACAACCATTAACATCTCAGCTACCTCCACCACCACCACAACCATTAACATCTCAGCTACCACCACCACCACCACTCTGCGTGTCTCCGTACCCGTGTTCCAGTCGTTGTTGCAGGAGGACCACTGCATGCCGCCCGTGATAGCGAAGCACAGGTAGAAGATGGCCCAGGCGAGAATGATGATGTAGTACATGTTGAGGAAGCCCACGATCACCTGGGTCGCGTATCCGATTCCTGCACGCAGCGGCACGGGGGATCGCTCGCCTCAATACAACCTCATCCTCCACTTTTGCCTCCTCCACCATCACCTCCTTCACAACTTCTGCCACTACCTCCTCCGCGTCCTCTGCTACCTCCTCCTCCACCACCACTTGTGCCTTCTCCACCATCACCTCCTCCTTCACCACTTCTGCCTCCTCCACCACTATCTGCTCCTCCACCACTTCTGGTTCGTCCACCACTAACCTTCTCCTCCACCACCACTTTTGCCTCCTCCACCACCACCACCACCTCCTCCGCTTCCACTGCTACCTCCTCCTTCACCACTTCTGCCTTCTCCACCATTACCCCCTCTGCTACCTCCTCCTCCAGCACCACCACTTCTGCCTCCTCCACCACTACCTCCTCCTTCTCGTCCACCACCACTTTTGCCTCCACCACCTCCTCTGCTTCCACCGCTACCTCCTCCTCCACCACTTCTGCCTCCTCTGTCACCAGCTCCTCCGCTTCCATCACTACCTCCTCCTACACCACCACCTCATCTGCCGCCTCCATCACTACCTCCTCCTACACCACCACCTCGTCTGCCACCTCCACCATGTCCTCCACCGCAGCCTCACCCTCGAAGAGAGGGCAGATCTTCCTCCAGCAGGTGATGCCGCCCTGGCTCGTGAACTGTCCCAGCGCCGTCTCCAGGAAGAAGACGGGGATCCCACATCCCACGAAGAACACCACGTAGGGAATGAGGAATGCACCTGTACGGCCACACACACAGACACGTGTAGAGACACACACAGAGACACAAAGAACACCACGTAGGGAATGAGGAATGCACCTGTACGGCCACACACACAGACACGTGTAGAGACACACACAGAGACACAAAGAACACCACGTAGGGAATGAGGAATGCACCTGTACGGCCACACACACAGACACGTGTAGAGACACACACAGAGACACAAAGAACACCACGTAGGGAATGAGGAATGCACCTGTACGGCCACACACACAGACACGTGTAGAGACACACACAGAGACACAAAGAACACCACGTAGGGAATGAGGAATGCACCTGTACGGCCACACACACAGACACGTGTAGAGACACACACAGAGACACAAAGAACACCACGTAGGGAATGAGGAATGCACCTGTACGGCCACACACACAGACACGTGTAAGAAACACACACACATGTAGAGACACACACATGTAGAGACACACACAGAGGCACATGTAGAGACACACACAGACACATGTAGAGACACACACACAGACAGACACGTGTACACACACACACATGTAGAGACACACACATGTAGAGACACACACACAGACACATGTAGAGGGACACACACAAACACAGACACATGTAGAGACACACACACAGACACATGTAGAGACACACACACACAAACACGTGTAGAGACACACACAGACACATGTAGAGACACACACACAGACACATGTAGAGAGACACACACAAACACAGACACATGTAGAGACACACACAGAGGTACGTGTAGATACACACACAGACACGTGTAGAGACACACACACACAGACAGACACGTGTACACACACACACACACATGTAGAGACACACACATGTAGAGACACACACACAGACACATGTAGAGAGACACACACAAACACAGACACATGTAGAGACACACACAGAGGTACGTGTAGATACACACACAGACACGTGTAGAGACACACACACACAGACAGACACGTGTACACACACACATGTAGAGACACACACATGTAGAGACACACACACAGACACATGTAGAGGGACACACACAAACACAGACACATGTAGAGACACACACAGACACATGTAGAGACACACACACACAAACACGTGTAGAGACACACACAGACACATGTAGAGACACACACACAGACACATGTAGAGAGACACACACAAACACAGACACATGTAGAGACACCCACACAGAGGTACGTGTAGATACACACACAGACACATGTAGAGACACACACAGACACAGACACATGTAGAGACACACACACACAGACACATGTAGAGAGACACACACAAACACAGACACATGTAGAGACACCCACACAGAGGTACGTATAGATACACACACAGACACATGTAGAGACACACACAAACACAGACACATGTAGAGACACACACAGACACATGTAGAGACACACACACACACAGACACGTGTAGAGACACACACAGACACATGTAGAGACACAAACACAGACACGTGTAGAGACACACACAGACACATGTAGAGACACACACACACAGACACGTGTAGAGACACACACACAGACACATGTAGAGACACACACAGACACGTGTAGAGACACACACACAGACACGTGTAGAGACACACACACAGACACGTGTAGAGACACACACACAGACACAAAGAGCACCACGTAGGGGATGAGGAACACACCTGTGTGCTCGCGGGAGACGCAGCTATAGACACATGCACATACACACACAGAGACAGAAAGAACACCATGTACGGAACGAGGACACAGAGGACAGCGAGAGAAACAGATATACGGTGATAAAGACAAAGATCCCCCGTATAGCCTTAACAGACTGTTGGGGCAAGGGCTGTTAGCGAGCAATGACCACTTACACACAGACTCATGAAGGAGCACGACAACAAGTCACCATTGGCAGCTAAGTGACGCTAGCAGGAGGTTACGGGACAGGCCCAGGTGCCATGAGTTGACTGAAATGACTGGAAGATGCACCAACCCGTGCTCCCCTACTGTGCTAACTCCCATCGTTTTAGTCGCCCGTTGCTCTGCTCGTTGTTGTGAGCGTCGCCCCTTCACCCTTCAGTTCATTGGAGGGCGACTGCCTCCAACTGCTCAGTAGCAGCGTCCTTCACGAGCCTCCTCCACAGAGGCCGATCTTGACACCGCTGGTACCGGTCATCGGCAAGTTCACTCAGCTCCACATCCTCCTGTACCACATCACTCCATCTCTTCTCTAGCCCGCGCCACGCCCGTCTAGCCCCCTCGATCTGACCAAACAGAAGCTGCTTTGGGCACGTGGTGGCTGGGCACGAGGTCTACGTGACCCCGCCAACGCGGCCTTTGCCTGTCGGAGGAGCTCACCAATGATCGGGGTACTGTGTCCCATATCTTTAAAGGATCTGAGACCTCCTCATACTCTAATCCAGCCTGCAGGTTAAACCCAGGATGGATGGTAGGCAGGGCCAACCTCAATGTTTTAGCCTGACACAGGTTTTCCTTTAGAGGGCTCCTCGTTCCACAAGCAATTGGTGGTGGGGGGGATGTGACATCCATTTTGCGTGCAGCGACACGCGGCCAAGGCAATTTCCACACAGCGGTTAGGCAGCCGATGAAAAGATAACAACCACTGGATTGATTCTGAGTGAGGCCTCCGCTGCCGAGCACACTTGCCCCACCGGTGCGACATGTCGCTGCCGGTGGGTTTGTTGTGAGCAAATGCCATTGGGGTACAGCAGAGGCTGACTGACGGCGTTATTCGGCTGGTTACCTCCGTGATGCCCTTTCACAGCCACCGCAGTGCCACATGAGGTGGGTGGTGGTGGGGCTCTCTAGTGCGATGGATTGCGAGGGGAGACGTTAGCCCCCCCCCCCCCCCAAGCAAAATCTCATTTAGCAGAAAATGATGGAGAGGAGAGATCGAGAATAGGAATGAGGCGGAGGTCCCGAGGGGGACGGGCGTCCATGAGGTGCCCTGACCAATTCCCATTTGCTGGAGCCACAGAACTGAAATCTCTCCCCACGGGGAGTCTCCAGACACACATACACACATGTGTACACACACATACGCATATACACACACACACATATACACACACAACAAAGACAAAGATCCCCTGTACAGCCTTAACAGACTGTAAGGGCAAGTGCTGTTAGCGAGCACCTATGAAGGCCACAACGGTACACGAGGGGGTGGGTGGCCAGCACCACGCCCGACCGCCTTTGTCTCCCCAATGGCGATGTTTGCACACCGCACCAGGTACTCATTTAAGGCTGAGTCGACCTAGGGGAGGCCCAGGACCGGTTCAGATAATCGTCACTGGTGTTGGCCGTGAGCGGGAATCGAACCCGGGTCGCCAGGTTCATAGCGCAGCGCGCTAACCGCTACACTACCGCTCCCCACATACACACACATACACACACACACACGTACACACACACATTTCGATTTAAAGCTTTCGTGACTGCAGGGATTCATCTTCTTGGTTCTTTCGGTAAAGTCACGTAGAATGGAAATAATAAAGTAATAAAAATAAAACATAATAAAATAATTATCACGACGTTTCGGCCACAACGCAAGCAGCCGTCATCAGGTGAAGAACAGGTCTGTCGGGAAGACAGAGTCTCTGTCTTATCGACAGACCTGTTCTTGTCTGTCTTATCGAATGTTGGGGAGACAGCGTCATTCAGACGCTGTCTCCCCGACAGACCTGGTCTTCGCCTGAGGATGGCTGCTTGCGTTGTGGCCGAAACGTCGTGAGAATTATTTTATTATGTTTTATTTTTATTATTTTATTATTTCCACTCTACGTGACTTTACACACACACATGTACACACATACACTCACGTACATACACACGCATACGTAGCCTAAACAAACTGAAGGGGCAAGTGCCGTTAGCGAGTAGCACTAATAAAGGCCGGCACGGCACAAGATGGGATGGGATGGGTGGCCAGCATCACGCCCGGTCGCCTTTGTCTCCCTCGTGGCGACGTTTTACACATCGCACCAGGTACTCGTCTGAGGCTGAGTCGACCTAGGGGAAGCCCACGACCGGTCCAGACATTAAATCACCGGAGTTGTTCAGTGAGCGGGAATCGAACTCGGGTGGCCGCTACTACACTACCGCTCCCCACACGCACAGAGTGACACACACACACACACACGTGGGTGCACTCCCACACACTCGGAGTCATCTGCAGCCCAGACACGCTCCAACTCCCACACACTTTTGTTTTAGGGCCCATTCTGTGGCTCTTTTTGTGACACGACAGGGGGAGAGGGGTTGGTGAGAGAGGATGGTGTGAGGGGATGAGAGGGGATGAGAGGGGGTGGTGTGAGGGGATGAGAGGGGGGGGGGTGAGGGGATGAGAGGGGATGGTGTGAGGGGATGAGAGGGGGTGGTGTGAGGGGATGAGAGGGGGTGGTGTGAGGGGATGAGAGGGGGTGGTGTGAGGGGATGAGATGGGATGGTGTGAGGGGGGTGTGAGGGGGGGTGTGAGGGGATGAGAGGGGGGGGGGGGTGAGGGGATGAGATGGGATGGTGTGAGGGGATGAGAGGGGGTGGTGTGAGGGGATGAGATGGGATGGTGTGAGGGGATGAGAGGGGGTGGTGTGAGGGGGTGAGAGGGGTTGGTGTGAGGGGATGAGAGGGGGTGGTGTGAGGGGATGAGAGGGTGGTGTGAGGGGATGAGAGGGTGGTGTGAGGGGATGAGAGGGGGTGGTGTGAGGGGATGAGAGGGGGTGGTGTGAGGGGATGAGAGGGGGTGTGAGGGGATGAGAGGGGGGGGTGAGGGGGGAGAGGGGATGGTGTGAGGGGATGAGAGGGGGTGGTGTGAGGGGATGAGAGGGGGTGGTGTGAGGGGATGAGATGGGATGGCGTGAGGGGATGAGAGGGGGTGGTGTGAGGGGATGAGATGGGATGGTGTGAGGGGGGTGTGAGGGGGGGGGTGTGAGGGGATGAGAGGGGGGGGGTGAGGGGATGAGATGGGATGGTGTGAGGGGATGAGAGGGGGTGGTGTGAGGGGATGAGATGGGATGGTGTGAGGGGATGAGATGGGGTGGTGTGAGGGGATGAGAGGGGGTGGTGTGAGGGGATGAGATGGGATGGTGTGAGGGATGAGAGGGGGGTGGTGTGAGGGGATGAGAGGGGGTGGTTTGAGGGGATGAGAGGGTGGGTTGAGGGGGTGTGAGGAGGGTGGTGTGAGGGGGTGAGAGGGGTTGGTGTGAGGGGATGAGAGGGGTTGGTGTGAGGGGATGAGAGGGGGTGGTGTGAGGGGATGAGAGGGGTTGGTGTGAGGGGATGAGAGGGGGTGGTGTGAGGGGATGAGAGGGTGGTGTGAGGGGATGAGAGGGTGGTGTGAGGGGATGAGAGGGGGTGGTGTGAGGGGATGAGAGGGGGTGGTGTGAGGGGATGAGAGGGGGTGGTGTGAGGGGATGAGAGGGGGTGTGAGGGGATGAGAGGGGGGGTGTGAGGGGATGAGAGGGGTGATGTGAGGGGATGAGAGGGGGTGGTGTGAGGGGATGAGAGGGGGTGGTGTGAGGGGATCAGAGGGGGTGGTGTGAGGGGATGAGAGGGGGTGGTGTGAGGGGATGAGAGAGGGGTGGTGTGAGGGGATGAGAGGGGGTGGTGTGAGAAGATGAGAGGGGGTGGTGTGAGGGGATGAGAGGGGGTGGTGTGAGGGGATGACAGGGGGTGGTGTGAGGGGATGAGATGGGATGGTGTGAGGGGATGACAGGGGGTGGTGTGAGGGGATGAGAGGGGGTGGTGTGAGGGGATGAGATGGGATGGTGTGAGGGGATGACAGGGGGTGGTGTGAGGGGATGAGAGGGGGTGGTGTGAGGGGATGACAGGGGGTGGTGTGAGGGGATGAGATGGGATGGTGTGAGGGGATGAGAGGGGGTGGTGTGAGGGGATGAGAGGGGGTGGTGTGAGGGGATGACAGGGGGTGGTGTGAGGGGATGAGAGGGGGGGTGTGAGGGGATGAGAGGGGGGTGTGAGGGGATGAGAGGGGGTGGTGAGAGGGGATGAGAGGGGGGGTGTGAGGGGGGGTGTGAGGGGGGGGTGTAAGGGGAGGGGTGTGAGGGGGGTGTGAGGGGGGGGGGTGTGAGGGGGGGTGTGAGGGGATGAGAGGGGGTGGTGTGAGGGGATGAGAGGGGGGGTGTGAGGGGATGAGAGGGGGGGTGTGAGGGGATGAGAGGGGGGTGGTGAGAGGGGATGAGAGGGGGGGTGTGAGGGGGGGTACGAGGGGGTGATGGCTGCTGCTCACTTCCAGTACGTCACCACGAGGTGTCTATGTCTCGATACAATCTCCATATAGAGTTGTTCTGTTACCTAACAAACAATGTACAGGATTTAAATGATGATGATGATTCGAGACTTTCGTTGAGCTGTCATTTGTGAGAGCCAGGGTCGCTTCTGAAAAAGAGCTATAACATAGCTAAGGGTGACCCTTACCTGGTAAAATAAAATAAAAATTAGTTTAGTAGTTAAATTGTACTGTGAGGTGACCCACTAACGATCCTAAACTTTTGGGACAAGTGCTGTTAGCGAGCAGCAGCACCTATGAGGTGATGGGTGGCAAGCACCACACCCGACCGCCTTTGTCTCCCCGAGTGTCGATGTTTACATATCGCACCGGGTACTCATTTGAGGCTGAGTCGACCTAGGGGAACAGGCCCAGGACCAGTTGAGGTAATTGTCACTGATGTTAGCCTGTGGGAGGGCAAGTGCTATCAAACAAATCCACGCTCACAGATATAGCACTCACTCACACGCCGCAACAACAACAATAACAACAAGAACAACAATAACAACAATAACAACAACAACACCAGCAGCCGCCATTTGATACTCAAAGCGATTTCCTGCAGCCCAGATGCTCGCCTCCTGTTTGCAGCCCCGCAGAGCCGGCGGTGGAAATTCCACATTGTTGTGGCAGGGACGAGTCTGGTCATTGCTCAAACCCACTGTTCACTTCCCCCACAAAGTGGTACGTATTTTATTCACCCCCGAGGGAGAGAGGGGTGATGGGCTGAGTCAACCCCCAATCACTATTTGAAGACGAAAATTCCGTGGGCAAAAAATGAAATAAAAATTAATACAAAATAAAACAATGAAAATCACGACGTTTCGGAGTTAACACAAGTCTCCGTCATCAGGTGGTTAGCTGATTCAGCCTCACACTCTCTCACACCGTCACAGCCAGATTAGCTGATTCAGCTAATCTGGCTGTGACGGTACCACCTGATGACGGAGACTTGTGTTGCCTCCGAAACGTCGTGATTTTCATTGTTTCATTTTTATTAATTTTAATTTCATTTTTTACCTACGTGACTTTACCGAAAGAATTAAGAGTATGAATCCTTGCAGTCACGAAAGCTTCAAATCTAGAATCGAAAATTCCAGGTTGTGAGCCACCTGTCTGCAGAAGGCGAGCACAGTCTCGCATACTGAACACACTTTTACTCGCACACACAACTCGTACTCTCATGCACGTGAATACACACTCGCTCACACTTACTCAACTCTCTCACGCTCCCACAATCTCTCACTCACACTCTCTTACTCTCTCACACTCTCCCTCACACTCTCGCTGACACTCTCACTCACTCTCTTACTCTCTCACACTCTCCCTCACACTCTCTCCCTGATACTCTCACACTCACACTATCACTGACACTCTCTCACTCACATTCTCTCACTCTCACGTACACTCTCACTCACTCTCTCCCTCACACTCTCTCACTCTCTCACACGCTCTCACACTCACACTCTCTCACGCTCTCCCTCACTCTCTCACGCACACACTCTCGCTCACTCTCTCACGCACACTCTCACACTCTCTCACACGCTCTCACACTCACACTCTCTCACTCACACTCTCCCGCGCTCTCTCACTCACACTCTCCCGCGCTCTCTCACTCACACTCTCACTCACACTCTCACTCACACTCTCTCACTCACACTCTCTCACTCACACTCTCACTCACACTCTCTCACTCACACTCTCTCACACACTCTCGCTCACTCTCTCACGCACACTCTCTCACTCACACTCTCACTCACACTCTCTCACTCACACACTCACACTCTCTCCCTGACACACTCTCCCTGACACACTCTCTCACGCACACTCTCTCACACACACACACACACACGCACACTCTCTCTCTCTCACACTCTCTCACACACTCTCTCACTCTCTCTCCCTGACACACTCTCACTCAGACTCTCTCCCTCACACTCTCCCTGACACACTCTCTCTCACACTCTCTCACGCACACTCTCTCACACTCTCTCATGCACACTCTCCCTGACACTCTCTTCCTCACTCTCTCACTCACACTCTCTCTCACACTCTCACGCACACTCTCTCACACACTCTCTCTCTCACTCTCTCCCTGACACACTACCCCTCACACACTCTCCCTGACACACTCTCTCTCACACTCTCACGCACACCTGCGGCGGGGAGCGCTCACCGCCGCCGTTCTTGTAGCACAGGTACGGGAAGCGCCACACGTTTCCCAGGCCGATGATCTCCCCGGCCACGGACAGCACGAACTCGACCTTGTTGTTCCAGTGGCCGCGCTCCTTTAACTTCCTCGCGGGGGGCTCCAGCGCCCCCGCCTCCCCGCAGGGGTCCATGCCGAGCTCGCCGTCCCCCCCCTGGGCGACCCCCCCCGGAGCAACAACCACGCCACTGCCCCCCGCGGCGCCGTCCCCAGATTTGCCGTTGACGGCCGCGGGCTGGGTGCCCTTTTGGGGGGCCATGGTGAGCTGTGGGGGGTGAGGGGTGGGGGGTTGGCATCATGGGTGAGGGTGTGTGACGTATTGCAGAGGTGTGTGTGTGTGAATGTGTGTGTGTGTCACAGGTGCGTATGTGTGTGTGTGTCACAGGTGTGTGTGTGTCACAGGTGCGTGTGTGTATCACAGGTGTGTGTGTATCACAGGTGTGTGTGTGTGTCATAGTGAGTGTGTCACAGGTGTGTGTGTGTGTGTCACAGGTGTGTGTGTGTCACAGATGTGTGTGTGTGAGTGTGTGTGTGTCACAGGTGTGAGGAGCGATAGTGTAGCAGTTAGCGCGCTGTGCTATGAACCCAGCGACCCAAGTTCGATTCCCGCTCACGGCCAACACCAGTGACGATTATCTGAACCGGTCCCGGGCTTCCCCTAGGTCGATTCAGCCTCAAATGAGTACCTGGTTAGGTGTGTAAACATCACCACTAGGGAGACAAAGGCAGTCGGGAGTGGTGCTGGCCACCCACCCCCTCGTGTACCGTTCCGGCCTTCATAGGTGCTCACTAACAGCACTTGCCCCAACAGTCTGTTCCAGGCTATATGGGGATCTTTATCTTTGTCACAGGTGTGTGTGTCACAGGTGTGTGTGTGTGAGTGTGTCACAGGTGTGTGTGTCACAGGTGTGTGTGTTACAGGTGTGTGTGTTACAGGTGTGTGTGTGTCACAGGTGTGTGTGTGTTACTGGTGTGTGTGTATCACAGGTGTGTGTGTGTCACAGGTGTGTGTGTCACAGGTGTGTGTGTGTCACAGGGTGTGTGTGTCACAGGTGTGTGTGTTACAGGTGTGTGTGTGTCACAGGTGTGTGTGTGTTACAGGTGTGTGTCACAGGGGTGTGTGTATGTCACAGGTGTGTGTGTGTGTCACAGGTATGTGTGTGTGTGTATCACAGGTGTGTGTGTGTCACAGGTGTGTGTGTATGTCACAGGCGTGAACCCGACAATTCCCGCTCACGGCCACCAACACCAGTGATGATTACCTGAACCGGTCATGGGGCCTCTCCCTAGGTCGACTCAGCCTCAAATGAGTACCTGGCGCGGTGTTTAAACATCGCCACTGGGGAGACAAAGGCGGCCGAGCGTGGTGCCGCCTCGCGTGCCGTGCCGGCCTTCGTAGGTGCTCGCTCGCTAACGGCGCTTGCCCCAACAGTCTGTCACAGGCTACACGGGGGATCTCAGTTTAAACATCCGACGACCCATCAGGATTGAGTGACACGTGGAGTCGTATCGGAAGGTCATCGCACCGCGTGTAGGTTTGAGTGCCGCTGTTTGCCCTGCACAGGGGAACTCATCTCACGTCCGACCCTGTCCACTCCTATAATCCGCGATTATCCGCCAGTTTACCCCTAATGCATAGCGAAGCTAAACTGTTAAAAACTAAAAACTATATCTTTTTATGAAACTAGTTTTCTTATTTTACCAGGCAGGGTCTCACTGAGCTACGTAGATTTTTTTTTTTCCAGAAGCGACCTGGCTATCGAGGAAGTGGTTGATATCACCATCATCATCACGTGGACATTTAGAGCAGCCAAGTAGTCTAAACGCGTGATGTTGATCCTCAATGTGGAAGGAAAACCCGGAGGACCCGGGGAAAATCCACGCGGCCCTTGGGAAGAAAGACACGCACACTCCCAATATACAGCAGGCGTCAGGGTCTACATCGAACCCACGACCTCCTGTAGACCAGGCGAGGTAGTTAACATCTCCTAGCCATCGTGACGATGATGAGAGAGAGACACGCAAACTCCAAATATACAGCAGCAGGCGTCAGGGTCGGGATCGAACCCACGACCTCCTGTATACCAGGCGAGGTAGTTAACATCTCCTAGCCACCGTGACGCCCTGAAGCTGCTTGCTAATTAGAGGAGTCGCTCAGCAAAATTCTCCCCGTTACCCGCGGTGTCATCTTGGTGATCGGGGGGGTGGGGAGTGGGAGGGGGGGCTACAATAAACATGAGAACCACTGCCATAAGCTGCGGTGGACGTGAATCACACCGCCACATCCAATTCCCAACCGCCCCCCCCCCCCCACACCTTAATACCCTTCTATATAGATCGGCTTCCGTGTGGCCACCCCAACCTTGAATCCCCCCCCAGCATGTTGAACTTCTTTCGCGCCGTACCTAGCAAACCGTGCTAATCTCCATCTCTCTATCGAGATCAGCTCAGACCTCCCGTGAATCACGTGACTACCCCCGGTGCCACCCCGACTCTGAATCCCTCCGCTCTCGTCTGTAAATCTCGAAACGACAATGCAGCAGATGCCACGCGGTGCTCTGTGACACCACTGGGGGGTTATCGTGGACAGAACCGTGACCTTCAATCCCCACACAAAACGGATCTGTGAAAAGGCCAAAATCAAGAGTCGCCCTGCTACAGAAACTTACAGGAACAGCCTGATCAGCTGCGAACTGCCACCCTCCTCTCACCGATGAAGCGCTCAGCGGCAGAGTCACTTGCGCTCCAAGCTGGTCCAGGAGCTCGTACACAATGCTGCCAGATTCGCGATTCAATAGCGCGATGTGCATCACAACCCGAAACATTAAAGGGGACGTCGATCCCCGGCAGTGCCGGATTAAACTATTGCTGTAGCATATGTTACAAAGGGGCCTTAAATGAGAAAAAACGCACGTAAATATTAAAGGACAATATTCTACTTGACTAGTAAAGTTATTATATGTTTCATTTGCTATACAGCCAGATAATACGACAGATCGCTCACCTTAAACACCCAGTCGTTCATAACAGTTGAAGGCAGTATAGTACTATATTAATAGAGCAAGTGCAGAATCGTTGAACCGGAATTGATGGCCTGAAAGGATTTAGCGCAGGGCCCTTGAAAGTGCGGGGCCCGTAGCTACTACACGTGTTGCAGCTACTGCACGTGTTGCAGCTACTGCACGTGGTGCAGCTACTGCACGTGGTGCAGCTACTGCACGTGGTGCAGCTACCGCACGTGGTGCAGCTACCGCACGTGGTGCAGCTACCGCACGTGGTGCAGCTACCGCACGTGGTGCAGCTACCGCACGTGGTGCAGCTACCACACGTGCAGCTACCACACGTGCAGCTACCACACTTGCAGCTACCACACTTGTAGCTACTACACGTGCAGCTACTATATTTGTAGCTACTACACGTGCAGCTACTATACGTGCAGCTACTACATTTGTAGCTACTACATTTGTAGCTACTACACGTGCAGCTACTACATTTGTAGCTACTACATTTGTAGCTACTACACGTGCAGCTACTACATTTGTAGCTACTACACGTGCAGCTACTACATTTGTAGCTACTACACGTGTAGCTACTACATTTGTAGCTACTACACGTGTAGCTACTACATTTGTAGCTACTACACGTGCAGCTACTACATTTGTAGCTACTACACGTGTAGCTACTACACGTGTAGCTACTACATTTGTAGCTACAACACGTGCAGCTACTACATTTGTAGCTACTACACGTGCAGATACTACATTTGTAGCTACTACACGTGCAGCTACTACATTTGTAGCTACTACATTTGTAGCTACTACATTTGTAGCTACTACACGTGCAGCTACTACACGTGCAGCTACTACATTTGTAGCTAATACATTTGTAGCTACTACATTTGTAGCTACTACACGTGTAGTAGCTACTACATTTGTAGCTACAACACGTGTAGCTACTACATTTGTAGCTACAACACGTGTAGCTACTACATGTGTAGCTACTACACGTGTAGCTACTACATTTGTAGCTACTACATTTGTAGCTACTACACGTGTAGCTACTACATTTGTAGCTACAACACGTGTAGCTACTACATTTGTAGCTACTACACGTGTAGCTACTACATTTGTAGCTACTACACGTGTAGCTACTACATCTGTAGCTACTACACGTGTAGCTACTACATTTGTAGCTACTACACGTGTAGTAGCTACTACACGTGTAGCTACTACACGTGTAGTAGCTACTACACGTGTAGCTACTACATGTGTAGTAGCTACTACATCTGTAGCTACTACACGTGTAGCTACTACACGTGTAGTAGCTACTACATCTGTAGCTACTACACGTGTAGCTACTACACGTGTAGCTACTACACGTGTAGCTACTACATCTGTAGCTACTACACGTGTAGCTACTACATTTGTAGCTACTACACGTGTAGCTACTACATTTGTAGCTACTACACGTGTAGCTACTACACGTGTAGCTACTACACGTGTAGCTACTACATTTGTAGCTACTACACGTGTAGTAGCTACTACACGTGTAGCTACTACACGTGTAGTAGCTACTACACGTGTAGTAGCTACTACATGTGTAGTAGCTACTACATCTGTAGCTACTACACGTGTAGCTACTACACGTGTAGTAGCTACTACACGTGTAGTAGCTACTACACGTGTAGTAGCTACTACACGTGTAGTAGCTACTACATCTGTAGCTACTACACGTGTAGCTACTACACGTGTAGTAGCTACTACATCTGTAGCTACTACACGTGTAGCTACTACACGTGTAGCTACTACACGTGTAGTAGCTACTACACGTGTAGTAGCTACTACACGTGTAGCTACTACACGTGTAGCTACTACATCTGTAGCTACTACACGTGTAGCTACTACATTTGTAGCTACTACACGTGTAGCTACTACATTTGTAGCTACTACACGTGTAGCTACTACATTTGTAGCTACTACACGTGTAGCTACTACATTTGTAGCTACTACACGTGTAGCTACTACACGTGTAGCTACTACACGTGTAGTAGCTACTACATCTGTAGCTACTACATCTGTAGCTACTACACGTGTAGCTACTACACGTGTAGCTACTACACGTGTAGTAGCTACTACATCTGTAGCTACTACATCTGTAGCTACTACATCTGTAGCTACTACACGTGTAGCTACTACACGTGTAGTAGCTACACGTGTAGTAGCTACTACACGTGTAGTAGCTACTACATCTGTAGCTACTACACGT